ATGCGTGGGAGGATGTAGGGGGTCCTCACACCTTGCCATGAACCTTCACATCCACATCCTGCCCACCTGTGCTCTACCCTCCCACCTCCCCGCTGGGCGCAAGCTCCGCACTGCTGCCAGCCCCAGCCCCATACTCGCTGGACCTGCACAGCTGCAGCTCCCCCTCCCCCACCACTTACTTACCTGGTGCCTGGTTCAAGCAGGATGCCAGAGAAGCCTAGCAGATCCCCCAGCCACTGTAGCAGTAGCAGCAGCAGCCCTGACCAGAAGCTGCATGCTGGCTGGGCCCTTCTGCCCACAAAGATAGAAGCAAGGCACAATACGGTATGTTGAGAGGGGTGTATTTGTGGGCCCCTTGCTCTCCCCCTTGCAGAAGGAAGGGCTGGGCAGTATACAATTAATTGGCGGGCGCCCATGGACTGAATGAAAGTGCCTTGCATGACAGATCTGGCCCATGGGCCGTATTTTGCCTGCCCCTGTGTTACCCAATATAAAAGTGAATGGTTCAAGTAAGCAGCATGGGTAAGGAAATACCTGTAAAGCTGTTTGTGCAACATTAAAGGAACCACACCATTTAAAAAGTCAAGTGTCTAGTACTATTACAAGTAACTGTCAAAATGTAAAAATTAGAGAAGTTATCCTGCCTTTTCAATTTGACTGTAAATATCATATCTTCTCACACAAAAATATGCTCTGGAATACACAGCTTGCTTTTGAAAGGCAGAATGAAGTAAAAAAAGATCATCCAGGGTGTACCTACGTGAGGCACTTTACTGCACAGCAGACTAATCTACTGTGCAGTAAAGGTGTCACTATCTACATGTGCGGTGCATTTACTGGGCAGTAAATTAGGCTACTGCACAGTTAGCTTGTACTTGTAAATACAGCTAGTACCTATTACTGCACAACAGCACTCCTGTAGACATTGCCCCTAGTCAGCCTAGGCAGCAGGAGAAAGCGAACTCTCTGTCCCTGGTCCTGTTGCTGCTCAGTTTCTGGCTCTCCCAAGAAACGAGGAGCCAATTAACGCTGGGACTGGAGAGCTCTCTGCTCCCTCTCTCCCAGATCCTAGTGTGAGATGGCTGCTCCTAGGGGCAATGGGAAGCTGGAAACCCAGCCCCTGCCTGCCCCCCAGGGCACCTCTGCATGGCACAAAGACGGCTGCACTGGGGGGGCAGGTGGGAGGGGGCTGGGTTCCCAGTCCCTGCCTGCCTCGCAGAGCGACCAGCTCCACATCAAGCAGGGCAGCTGCGATCAAGCCCCATGCCCTCCCCTCCCAGGTTTGCTGGAAGCTGCCTCACACCCAGGACAGGTCCCAGTGGACAGGGGAGTCCCACCCACCACGGGACTCACTGGCAGCTGTGGCCAGGAGAGTTCTGCCTGCTGCAGGGACAACTGTCTCCAAGCCCAGTGCACATCTGGTCCCCTCCCGATGTGCTAGGGGCAAGGAGACAGCTGTTGCTGCAGCCAGCAGAGTTCTTCTAGTGCTGTGCACATTGGGACCAGCCGCATGCCCCTTGCTATCTCCTGGGCTAGCACCCAGGGGAGCCAAGCAGGGCCGAAACAGCCTGTACTAGGCTCCTTCCAACAGGCAGCATGTGTAGACTCCTGGGAACTAATTAATGCCAATTAGTAGCACATGCAGACACGTGTTGTCCACCCCCCGCACTCCCTTGCAGTAACTGAGTAGCAGCAGCTAAGGAACAGAGCCTACTCATTGTTCTGTTCCCTATGGATCTTTGCAGATTTTACTTTCTGTTGTAGTTAGTAAGTGGCACAACCTGCTCTTACTGTGTTTCTTGCATATAATGCACACACCAATTTCCAGCAGCTGTTTTTTAGGGGAAGCATGGGTTCTGTGAGAGAAAATATGGTATATACAGTCTAACTCTCTTTCCCTGAAACATCTTGATGAAGAGATGCCTTAAGAAAACACACAATGAGCTGATAAGGAACTGCCATAACTGAAGCAGCAATTTTAGGCTTCCAAGTCTGGCACTTTTAGTTCTAGCCACTGTATGTTAAGGAAGGGTTTTGGCCCCTATCTGTCAGGCAAATAAATGATCTGTAGTCTAGAATCATTGCTCACCTCTGTTTTTTTCCTGGTAAAATAAAGAACGAGGACTGCATAGAGGGCTTGCTGCTTTACTTGAGGAAACTGTATCCTAATACCATGGTTGAAAAATTTAACCTTTTTGAACCAGACAGGCCAGATCCTTCTTTAGTATCGGGTAGGATAGCTGTGACCTGCACTCTAACAACCTGGTTCTACAATACCTTCCTAAGAGGTACTGTAAAGACTTTCAGAAAGCCTTGACATGCTGTTCTCAAGACTTGTAAACAAGCTAAACATCTATCCTTCTCTTAGACATCTTAGACAACTGCTGCATTGGTTCACAACCAATATTATGTCAGGACAAACACAGTCCTTCATGAAAGCTGGCTTCTTTCTTCAGCTACCAGAACAGAGGCATAAAAGAAAACTATAACATTGCAAAAAAAATCTTCCAAAACTTCAAAAACGTATTTGATAACTACTTAAAAAAATTTACTTTGAAAAAGCTTAATTAAAACTATACCAATGCAGCTAGGGTATGGGCTCTAGATTCAATGAAGACCATGGGAAGAGAAATTAAGGGACTGAGTTAGGGGATTTTTATACCCTTAAATCTAAAGCAAATGGTTCATGCTGCACCCTTCATTTAAAACTGCCTTAAGTTCTTTGACTCACATAGCAAGATATGTAACTTTTTGAACTGAAGGGGGAAATATTTTTTCCTGAAGAGGGATTCCCTTTTTCCCCCCTCACATGTGAGTTGACTCTTACTATAACGGGCATTTCTTAAACCTAAAGACTATCAACATACAAGCCCTATAAAGGAGTTTTAACAAGTACACCTCCATACAAAAGAAAAACCAACCTGTCACATGCCCCACTGTCTTCTCCATAACCCAGTATTACATCAACATCTTTGAGGGCCTCTACCCTTTCTTGACGTAAAGAAAATTTCTGTTAAATCTACTATGGAGATATGAGTTCCAGCTTCCTAAAACAGGTCTCTCTCTCCTACATCTCCAGCTGAAAAGGTGCAATCACAAATGAAAAAAGTGAAAAGCCTAATTTTCATTTTAATATGAGCCTAAGATTAATTGATTTTTCCACATAATTGAGGTTTACCAAATAAAAAGGGAAAATGCTTTTGGGATTGAGAACACTGGCAAGTTTTGAGAAAAACCTCAAATACTATCTTCTAATAACTATACACTCAATTTATTTTACAAAAATATAAGTGCAACAAAAACATCCATAATATTCAGATAACAGGACAATCTTGTATATTACCAAAAAAAAACAGTAGCCTCTCTACCTCATTAGCTTCACTCTGTTGCTGTTCCTTCTTTTTTCTCCTCTTCTCTTTCTTCTTCTCGTTTGTAGCCGGTTTTGCCCCTGAAGCTTGAGACTTCCCAGCACCTCGACCACCTCTTCCCTTTCCAGACTCCGAATCAGAATCACTATCCACTTGCAACAGAGCAAAGCGGGAGGCAGTGGTGGGAACTGAACTGAGTACAGCTGAGGCCATTGCAATGTCAGGCGTTACTCTGGGGATGACTATTATTCAAATATTATGCTTTCTGGGAAAGTAGCAAAGAAATAGGAAGTGAATCATACTAGCCCACTACACAAGAATGTTTTGCAACAGTATATACTGAAAACATGAATGGTTCAGACCTATCAGTTATACAGACTGTATGTAGCTCTGGTCCAAAGGGCTCAAGATAAATTGACTTGTTTTGGTTCTGCATCCACTTTCTTTTATTTAAATTGCTGCACTATCACTATTTAATCATAATATATAAACAAAAACAGTATTGTGTTCAATTTTTCTAGAAACGTTTTCTGTTATGGCACCTGCCTGCCTCTTACAGCTCCTAATGTGCTGAAGGTTACTGTATAGAGGGACAGGGAGACTACACCATTCCAACAACTTCCTGTTTTGTTTTGTTTTGTTTTTTAATGAAAACTACATAGCCCAGCAGAGAGACAGGATTCTAAGGAGAAAGGACAAGTAGCTGGTTAACATATATGCATGAAGGCATGTACATCTCAAAACTTCAGTTATCAGTGAGCAGAGTCCATTTTTTTTTCAAATGGTCTCTGTCCATTTATCAGAATTTTAGCAATCAGTGCTCTCCCACACAGAAAATTAGTTTTAATTTAATAAAACATTATTGAATTCCAACCCCAGATTCTGCATTTAATATTAAGGCTAACCATAGGGAACAAAGTTTAGCATATCTGCACTGAACTTTAAAAGTGAAAGGCCTACAAATTTAGTTAAAACAAGTTCATCTTTGGCATACTATTACAGACATTTTTAGACTTGTAAAAGGAGTTCCATTTCTGACATTTGAACATTTACTAGACTGCAATCCCCACATGAAAAGAATGATCTTTTTGAAGAGGGTTTGAAACTTAATTGTGAAGGGTAATTAAAATATTAGGTATTTTAATATACTTTTGATCTATTTACAAGAGTGATTCTCAGCCAGGGTTTCCTGGCATTCTGGGATGTCATCAGATCCTCTGAAGGGTACATCTAGCTAGGAGGAGACGAGAGACATGTGAAGAGATAAGAACAGGCTTATCCCTGCCTGGCTGATCCCACCTCCACTGCCTGGCTCCTCTGTAAGGAGGTAAGCACTGTGTATATAAAATTAGTTTTTAAAATTGGGTGCCACTGAATTTACAAAAGTTATGGAGGGGTTTTCTTGAGTACAAAAAGGTTGTTTTAGGTAAACAAACATAGTGGAGTCAGTGCATGTAACAGAAAAGGACTGATCTGAAAGTCTAATGTTAAAAACATAAGAGACACATGGCCAGTGACATGGGGTGCACAGCCATTCTGAAATGATGCCATATGAAACCAAAATGACATACAGAGGTGTGGTTTATGCAGAAATTGAATGATACATGGATCAGGTTTTATCATGCAAAATTAAATTTAATTGAAGACATGGCAGACCACAGCATTTAAGCAATGTTGTGAAAATATTTTCTCATTAAAATGTTACTGAAGAATTAATCTATGGATGAAACACTTCTAAGGATGATTTCCCAGGTTCTTTGGTTGTGCTTGATACTGGATATATGTGGAAAGAGAAGTCCACAGGAAATCTAAGATTAGCCAGACAATACAATAAGGGGTGCATTGATAAAGACTTTTTTGGCCATTACTGATAACCAGTTATTAACCAGCCATATCAGCCAATAGCAATCTGCTAACTGATATGCAGCCCAGCAACTTGGAAAGCAGCATCATCAGGCAGGTAAGTCTGTGGGGGGAAGGGGCGTGGGGGAAGGAAAAGGCATAGGGGTGCAAATTGAGGGCCCTGTGGTGAAGGAGGGAGTTGGGGCTGAGGCTGGGGCAGGCCCTGGCCAGCTGCAGGCAGCTCATCTTGGGGGGG